TTTCCCTCTCTCTCGCTCTCTCTATTTTTTTCCAACCATAAGAATGCTTATTTACTTTATGAGATCAGCCCGGGCGCGAAATTGCGCCGCGGGCACCGCAATTCCTTCGTCTTTCTCATCCTCGAGGCGTTCTCCGTCGAGTTCTCTCACTCGTTCGCCATCCACGAGTTTCCCTGTGTTCTTTGGAAAATTTGGAAGAAAATTTCGAAGGAAATTAGGTTAGAAAATTTGCGAAGAAAATTTGCCAAGAAAATTTCCTTGCGTCCTCGGAAAATTAGCCAGCGGACGACACGAAGAAAGAGAGTAAGAGAAAAGCGGATAGAGAAACAGAGATGTAGAGAGAGAGAGAGAGAGAGACAGAGAGAAGTGGATATAAGAAGCGAGTATGTGTTAGCTCAAAGACGAATCTTTCTTTTCCCTTTTCCTTTTTCTTTTTTCTTTTTCTCCCCGCTTTTGATCACTCCGTTTGAACGATGGAGAGTAAAGTATACTACCCGTCGGGTCGATCTCGATTGGGAAGGGCTCGGAGCGAAGATGAAACTGGCGTATAAAAATGGATGATGATCGAATGACGGTTCAAAGACCGGCTCGAACGAGCCTCGATCGCAAATGTCTCTTTGGTCGAAGAGATTTGCCGCTTCCTTCTTGTTCCTTTTCATTTCTCCTCGCTTCTTTTTAACCGTTTACACGCCGTGTCGACGCGCCGGATCGGAAACGTTAAATACACATATATACGCGTTAAATAATTTCAATTTACAAACTACGTTAAATATCGCTTTCGGACTAACAAACGAACGTCCTTAAATACAAAACGCGAGCCTCGAACCGTTTAAGAAACATCCGCCCCTGGGACCACGCGCGGAACCGAGAAGAGAAAGAACCGAGAATGATCGCGTCAAAGATGGCGGCTCTGTAAACGGTTAACTCTCCGCGTTCTCTGGCCGTGTGCACGGGCAAACGACTACGTGTGTGTGCATGTGTGTACGTGTGTTCGGTCATCGGGTACAAGAGAAGAATCGTCGAAGAGGTTAGAGAAGTACGAAAATACGAGACGCGCGAAGACGAAGAGGAAGATGGAGAGAAAGAAGAAAAAGAGAGAGAGAGAGAGAGAGAGAGAGAAACACGGAGAGTCGTAGAGAAAGATGCATCGCGAAAGAAACATGGAATACCGTGGTCGAATAACTCGTTACTTCCTTCGCGTTTTCGTTCACTCGCGTGCTCGGACTGATCCGAGCACCCCTCTCGAGGACTTCGTAATTATCGTCGGGCGTTTCCGGTGAGAATCGCGAACCTTCGGCAATCGTCGTCGCGATTCGCGAAAGTTCGGGAAACTTCGCAGAAATACGCGCGAAAGCGGAGAACGAACAAAGAAAACGCTCGATGGCGACGCTCTGATCTAACGGTATGGATTATGCGAGAGCGATCGACGCTCGCGAGACTCGTCCTGAATAAATTCTTCAAGTGATATGTGGGGACGTCGTTCGACGAGGCGAACGCGTCGCTGTTGGTCGAAATGTCTAGGTGTGTGTGTGTGTATGTGTGTGTGCTTGTTCGCTGCTTCGATCGTAATAATTAACTCGTTAATTCGTCGGATAGTGCACCGTATCCGCCTGTCTTCTTCTCTCCTCTCTTTCTCCCTCTCGATCGCGAGCCGGCAGCCGAGATGGGCACGAGATTTAGAAAAATTTCTTACACGAGCGTCGTACGAGCGTAAATATGTACGTTTGGACAGATATCATAAATCGGTTTCGCGTTGATCCGCGTGCCGGTCTACGATCGAGAGTACAGGCGACGCTCTCTCCGTGAAACGCGATTACTCCCAATCATATACACGAATATATATACGATAATTCCAGAGCGCGCATATACACAATTACATAATAAAGAGACACCGTTGATTACAAACGCTACACGTATATCTCCGATGTTATTTTTTTTCCTTTTTTCCTTTTTCTCTTCGTCGTTTTGCTCTCCCTCTGTTCTCTCGTGCAATATCGATAATACGCCACGCGCTCTCCTCTCTCTCTCTCTCTCTACGCTCTTTGTCGTAAAACGTACAAACGCTTCCGTATGTACGCGTACATACATACAAATATACATATATGTATATATATATAATATGCGATCACAGACACGTGTAATTCGCGTGTATAGAGTTTGCTTATTTTTTCTTTTTACTTTTCTTTTTGTGCCACACGTTCTCTCCCGTGTACCTTAACGACTTAATATGGATTTGATTTGTTTAAACAGCCTCTCTGTTCTTCTCGCACACTACGCCGCGCGTGCGTTCTACTGTAGCCAACCGTTTCTGCTGGTCAGAAGGGGCGAACGCGTTGACGCTCTTTCCTCAATGTTCTGTCGCTCTCTCTCCCGTGAGTTTCGTCGTTGAAGCGAACAACGTTACGCGAAAGGCATGAAAATTCGTTGATAAAACGCACGCGCGCAAGCGGACCGTACCGCCTCGAGTCTTGGTTCTCTCTTTTGTCTCGCGTCCGTTCGCCCCTTCGCTTGGTCCTTGTCGATTTGCTTCTTCCCTTTCTCTTTAATCGTTCAAAATCGAGCCGACCCGCGGACGCTGCACCCTCCTATAATACCAAAATGTTTCACGCGGCTTCGAGCACGATCACCGCACGGTTTAAGCTCTGCCGAAGACGCCCGGCCTTCGGACAAGGGGGACGAAGAAATTTGTCGAGGGCTTGGTACAGCGCGCGCGAGTCTAGTCCTCGATTTTTCTATTTCTCTCTCTCTCTCTTTCTCACTCTTTCTCTCTCCTCTCCCTCTCTTCGTTCGATTTTCGCTCGAGATTGTAATACGTTGTCGCGTGTTTCGGGTTGGTGACAGTAGCGCCATGATCCATCGTAAATAAACACAGCCGATAGGCATTGCTTGTCTCTGCGCACGCGCGCATTCGCCACCCGCGCTACGCGACGATTCGAAAGACCGCGCGTCCGGGCCGCGCATGCGCTCGCGCGCAGATCGTCCTATGATCTAAAGACTTCATTTATCACCTGTATTCTCGACACACACGGATACGACGAAAACGAAGGTACACTTTTTTGTCATTTTTATATTATAGCTTTCTCGTTATACGATAGTCAGTGAAATAAACGAGGTTAAAACGTATATAATATTTACAGCGCGAATCGCGGCCATAGCGCGAAAGACAAATTGTTTCCTTTCCTTTCCTCGCATTTTCCCAGCGTTTCCTTCCTTCCATCGTCGCGTTTCACTCGCGGCCTTTGCTCGTCTCGATCTTTGCGTCGATCGACGACGACGCCGGCACACGGACGACGATGTTAAAACGCGCGTCTCGACGTCGAGACCGCTGAAATATGACTTGGTCATCTTTCGTATTCGAAACACTGTTCAAATAAGACTCCTTAATTTTACTCTTACGATTAACTGCAGTGCCATACCAGCAAACCGTCTCGGTATATAAAGTACCGCGAGAAGTTGTTGATTGATTCGCAAAAACGGACGCGCGATGCTCCTCTCCTTCCCCTCTCTCCGAACATTTCTCATTTCCTCTTCCTCTAAAACGCTAAAAAAAAAAAAAAAAAAAAAAACGAAAGGGCGGATAAAAAATAGTCGCGAATATAGCGTAATAATAATCACTATCATCTGTCGTACACCTGCGAATCGTGTAAAACTCAAAGCGGGATATATATATATATATATAACATATACATATATACCGTGGAAAAGTGGCTACAAGTTGCAACTCTACCGGAAGGTTAAACGCGACGCGATCGGGGAAGGGGCAAAAGCTTCAACAGATCTGAAACGCTATAACGAAACGCGCAAATAACAGTCTACTACACGATATCTTCGCGAACATAGAAAAATACGAGTGTCTATTTACAAAACAAACGATAAACCTCTCTCTCGCTCTCTCGCTCTCTCTTTCTCTCACATTCTCACTCTCACTCTCTCCTTTCTCTCTCTTCATCACTTCGGTACGCGTGTCTCCGTCTGTTTAACGTTCCACGTCTCTCTTTCTCCCTCGCGTATCCTCTCCTCTTCGCCCCCTGTCGCGTCGGGGGTATCCAAAATTGCCAAAAATAAATCGAGCAGAAAAATGAACGCGTGCGCGTTTCAGCTCCTCGCAGGGCGGAAACGGTCGCGCGCCAAATACAAAAAGATCGCCTCGAACGATGCGCCCGGAGATCCAAAGACGCACCGTCGATAGCTTACCGTCGTCGATTCGAGGATCGGCTTTTTCCTCGCCGCGACCGATCGACGTTCGTCGGGGCCGGGGGCCGGTGCCCGGGGGTGCGTTCGCGTCGAATTTTTCCCTCTTCTTCCACGCGCCTCGCGAAGCTTTCCTCTCTCTCCCTTCGTCGATTCTTTCCCTCCGTTCGGCACTGATGGACTCGTGGAGGAAATCTCGGTCGTTTTACGTTACGAGCGACGAGCAAACGACGGACACCTCGCGACGCCGTCTCACAATGGACCACTCGAATTTCGGGGCCTCTTTTTCTCCTTCTTCGTTCACACTTGCGCGTTCTGTACGTGTTTACGCCATGTACCTGTCCGTCTACGAGTGTACGGTGAGTTTATTATAACGTGAACTCTCCTCTCTGTTTCCGCGGTGTACATACGGATGGTTAAGATAACCGTGTGTACCAGTGTATCAGTGTGTCACTGTGTGTGTATACGTGTATGTGTGTGTATGTGTGTGAAGATACATCGTTATATACCGCGTGAGAATCGGTGTCGCGTTCGCTCGTTCCTTTCTGTGCCGTGTGCAGAGTCCGCAAAGACGCCTCGCGAATATCCGTGGCGCGAGTTACACGATAAAATAAACCGACGACAAACTGACAGACAGCAAGTAGACGAAGGAGCGACGGCGGTGCTTCGCTTAGGTCATATATCGCATCACCGCGCGGAGCGCGTACAGTAGCTCCGCTTGCATGCGTGCCTCCAGGATCATCAGATTCACGTGCACCTGGAAAAAAGAAACCAACGATCGTTACACATCTCGTTGCCAGTCCAACTACGCTCGTTTAAATACCGCATTGCCGACCGAGGTCTCGCGCTCGCGCGACAACGGTAACACGTGAAACCGAAATGCGTGCGCGAACCGGGTAAATCGTATGTAAATAAGCGTATCGTCTTACGTAAACTCGAATAGATTGAAAATCGACAAACAAACGGCGGGGAAAACGCTGAAGCGTAACGAACCTTCTCGCTGTGCTTGAACTCCCTCATCACGCGATCGTAATCCCTTTTGGTCACGCGCTCCGGATAGCAAACGGCGCTCTTGATGAACGTCTTCAGACTACGCTCGAGGAGTTGGTTCACCTCGTTGTAGTCGTAATCGTCGTGCCTGATGCCGAACATGCACTGTATGTAGTTCCAGATCGCTCGTCTGAAACGGGACGTGTCCACCTCGCTGTGCGTGCCCATGGTGTAGTAGGTGAGGTTGTAGGCTATCTTGAACTTGTCGTCGAGCAGGTTGCCGACGTCGTTGTACAGACGGTTCACCAGCGAGTATCCGTGGTCGTCCCAGGAGTAGTCTTGCACGCGGAAGGTCGGTATGTCGTTCAGTTGACCACGCTGGAATAACGAATAAATAACAAATAAATAAACGATGAGAGAGGAACAATGGCGGAAGGTGGCGTCGTCGTGGATCTATGGTTCTCGTTCCTCTTCGTTCTCGGATTCGATCGCGTCGTCGTTTAAGGTTAAACAGCTCGATTCGACGAGGCACACGTGTCGTAAATATTCATGGTAACGCGGTGGAAACGGTAATCGAATCGGCCGAACTTAAATATTCATCGGCGAGCTTCGCCTTGAAATGTACTTTCGAATCAGCCTCGCGAATTATCGAATGTGCCGCGTTAGATTTCAGATTACGGTGTTCGCTCCGAAATGTTACGAAAAGGGTACCGGGTAGCCTAACTTGGCTGACGTTTCGTTACCGTGATTGCTATTGTAGGATTTTTCGGTAATTAACCCTATACAGACAGAGGTCTGCGTGTCTAATAAACGACAACTCCCTTTTTATGATAGAATAGGTTTTATTTAACACGTTAAGTGCCACACCGGTCGCAGACTTTAGGTTCCTATTACACTTTTGGCGTTAAATTCTTCGCCATCTTTGGTCCTAAGGTTTGGGAATTCTTGTTATAACAATTGGTACGGTATCTCCGAGTTTTATGAACATTTCGCTGGTACCGATGGCCCACTTGACGGCCGAGTCTGGGTCTGAACGGAATAGCAAGCAAAACGGGCTAGGCACTTAACGTGTTAACTAAAATATTACACTAAGTTTCTCTAAATTCTAACCCTAAACACACGATCCTCTATTTACTACGTCTCGACTACACGCATTTTAAGTTTTCTGCGCCCTTACACCCTTATTTAAAGTCTAACGCTGTGTTTTCATACGCAAGCTCTCTTCGTTGATCACTCATTTCCCACGCAACCTCGCCTTTGATGGGCCAGGTGCTTCAGACATTCGGACGCTTTCCTAGACTTTCGTTCATTGCTTGCACTCGACCCGGTCATAAATATCTCATTTGTACAATTCTTGCACGTGGTCATCCGTCCGTGCACACGCACTCTAGGCGTCCTAAACAAAGCACACTATCGTACGATTATTCGAGGACGAAATTTTCTTCGGTATAGTTACTCTACTAGGGAGAAGAAGAGGAAAATAAAGGGAGAAAAATGGTAGATAAAAATAGGGAAAGGTGTATGTTACCTTGGCGAAGTCCTGGTAGATGAAGGTAGGGTCCTCGATGAAGTGACCGATGTCAGAGTCGAGGACTGAACTACTTCTCTGAGGCGCCGCAGTCAGCTCGGCCGACTGCGTTTCCACGGTCTCGAATCTTTTTGACAGCTCTTCCTGCGTGATCTGATAAGACTCGGATTTCTCGGACAGGCGTTTCATGCGTTCCATCAGCGCCTCGACGCCGACCTCCTGCTCACCCACTATGCTCGGCGAGGATGGCGGCGACGGCATGTTTTCTGCACAGATCGCAACGTCGTCTAGTCATTGTTCGAAATTTATCAGTCTCGATATTTACTGCAATTATGCATTTTTACTAATAGCCAATCTTTATTTATTTAATTATTTTATGTATTTTTACTAGTGGTTAAGTCGAGTGCCGTCCACCAGTGACCCCACGGCAGTCAACGTGTCAATCTCATGAACGGTCGAATAAACGTAAAACTGGTTATCCGTTAAAGGTCTTCGGACTTCTGTTTAATAAGCTCGAGAGAGGAAAGAAGAAAACACGAACGATTTATAGCACAGGTCGATAATACGAGGGAATAATCGTCTTGGCAATCGAAAGCCACGAAAGGATAATGACATGCGGCAGAAGATCGTTAATGAGATTCGACCGAGTTAAGCGTGATAGTTATTTTGAATTATGTTATTCGGGTTGAGTGGTATTAGGAGAATTTTAAACGATCGATGACCGACTTACCAGTCTTGCCATCGCCATTGGGAATCTTCTTGGGACTACTCGTAAGCTTGTCTTTGGCAGTTGGTACGTTATTGCTATTATCCTGGACGTTCTCTTTGTAATGGTGCCCGGCGACGTTGTCCAGCTCCTCGTTGATGCCGCAAGAAAACACGAAAGACGAGAGGGAGTGGAAGTGGGCCAGAAGAACTATCGCGTGAACCACCTCGGCTAGGGACCAGCTGTCCGCGCCTTTGGTCAGTTTCTGAAAAATCCCACATAGCAATTGAGTTTCTCTTGGACACATTGTTGTAGCAAAAACTAGATACTAAAGTGAGCTCTACATTCTAGTGACGTGGGAGCAATCCCTTTTCATGCATGAGCCTAAACAGGCCAGTTCGTACGCCAGTTTAATAAACATCTATACAATTTTTCCACCGTTTTCACTGACTTACTGTTCCTTCGAGTTATAACCCCGTAACAAAAATAAAATCGACCGACCATCAGTCCAATATCGATCTCTCGACTCACCTCTATGTGCGTTTTGTTCAGCAACCACGGCCTGTGAGCTAGAATCTTGTTGATCTCATAGAGATCTTGCAACTTCCCTGGGATCGACTTGAGCCCTCGAAGCCAGGACGGATCGCCGCCCTGGAGAATGAACTCTCCTTTCTGCAGGTTGATGAGATAGCTGCATTGATGCCTACCAGCGGCCTGAAAAAGTCCATCGAATCGGAATCTTATTTATTATCCCTTCGAGAACGGTTCAGATTCGCTCGACCGCGTGTCACCTGTTTCCAGAGAACAGGTATAAACTTTCTAGGAAACGCACGAAGGAACCGAAAGCATTCGTGGATACACAGGGTGGACGAGAATAGAGGGATGGTCGAAAAATAAGAAGCGCAGAGGGATGGCGAAGGAGAGACAAATTGCCGACGACGCGGAGTATCGAGGCGCGAAATTGAGCAAGAGCGTGCACAGTGTGCATCGATCGTCGGCGTGGAGGGATACAAGGGATGCAAGGGGTACAACGGATACAAGGGATACGAGAAAGGAGGTGTTGAAAACATAGGTTTAACCCTTTGCGAACAGGGCGATTTTGAGTGAAGCCGCTACCACGATAGTCATTTAACCCTTTAAATGAAATGCTCTCTGAGCAGCCGGCGTGACAGTGCTAGATCGACTTCGAATATTTCGAGATGGAACTAAAAATGTCCCACCATGCAGCATTACGGTGCATCAGAAAGGTGTGACACTTTTAATCCCTGTTTCCGAAGTTGGGAACCGATATAAAACGATTGAGGGCTGTAAAGGACCAAGCGTTTACAGTTTCTTGACTGTCAACGGTCAGTTCCTCGTTATTCTTCGCTGCGATCAAACAAAACAGGTCGAACTTTATTTTCTACCATGGTTCCAGACATCGGACTATAATTGTATCTCTATAATTGTATCATAATTCCTTATTTTTCTATCTTTGACACTGTAGCGACCATCATTCTCACCCTCGCCACTGGGTGAGTAGGTAAATCATTCCGACTTCGAGGACTTTCTCCCAAGTCCTCGGAAAACCTCCAATTCCTGTATATATAAACTTCCCAACCTTCCAATAGTATCCCAATCTGACAGGGTCTGCTAGAATAGCCTTACCAATGAGTCCACTAGCAGACCCGGGACAAAACGCATCCCTTCCTTTTCCTACCGTCCCTTCTAGCTACACTGCCAACGGAGGATACCTGCGATCAGCACGACATCAAACGACTATGATCCTCCACAAGTATATAAGATACAAATTCCTGGAACCAATACTTATATAAACATCCGATAAGAATTGGGGACTTAGGCAAACCGCTGTCACGTACCGTCTTGACACTTCTCAGGAGTCGGTGAGTCTCGCAAGAGAAGCACTAAACGAAACATGTACCTTCTTCGAGTAATGAAACACTTTAATAGAAAATATATATACATCTCGTATTTATTTTACGATTGAAACCCATAATCCCAACGCGTCTGAACTCATACCGCAAATTACGAGGCACCTAGTAGTTGACAGCGAACGTGCCAATGAGCTAAGAGACGAAAGAGTCGCAAGGATGATCGAGAAGCTAGGATTCCATAGTCCAGGAAGTAATCGTGACAGCACCATGCACGAATTGACAGCCGACTCCATCCAACATCCGATTTGGCAGCGGCCAGATAGCCAATCTCAACAGAGATTCTATATATATATTCTAGTTATTTTAACCCATAATCCCAATAGGAGAAAAGGGAAAAGAGATGTAGGTGGAGGAACGCGGGCGTGGACGTTGCTCGTCAATTTTCGACGCGCGCGTGCAACCTTCGACGCAGAAGCTCCGGAAAAACAAGCTATCAGGCGGAAGACACGTGTTGCGTGGCCACGAGAGGAGCTCTGGGAAAATTAATCGCCGCTTCGGGCAGGCCGAAGACGTCGGTTGTCTCCGCGAGAGGAATAACGGAGCGGCGTGTCGCGACACGATCGGTTTCGTCTTATTGGTTTGTTTTGAACGCGCTGGAATTACATCAGAAATTCAAATGACTAGCAGAGGAGAACGACGTGGAATAGGTGGTCGAACGTCGGGGAGAGGGGACGAGGAGGAAGGATGACGAAGCGCGTAAACAAGACACGTGTTTACCATGCCGGGGCCCGAGATCGATCGGCTCGAGAGCCGCGATAAGCGATAAGAATCGGCAAACACGCGGCTAGCGTCGGTGACTCTGAAATTTCCCTGACCACCCCCCGCGGACCTGGGAAAAACACCGGCGATTAACCCCTTCCCGTACAGCGACGAGTCTGACTCGTGATGAAGACTTTGGACCAAACGTGAATACAACGAGCCAGACACGTGAGCAGAATATTTTTCTAAATATAGTTTTGGAACTGTCATCTATTATTTATTTAATTATTTATTTATACGGGATTAACTCATTAGAAAAATTACAAGGAAGTTATTACAGTGAGGTATAAAATTAATGGTAACAAAGAAGAAGAAAAATAAAAATATACAAACAGACGAGATGTATATAAGTATAAGAAAAAATTTTTTTACTGAATAGATGTAGAGTAGGATAAGTATTGTTAATATTAATATTTATTCTATTAACCCTTTGCACTCGACGACTTTTTCGTTACAAAAAAATAGTAATTCGAAGACTTTCTATCATAGAGTCGACGATATTTTTAAAATGGTAAATGAGAAATCAGACGCAAATTAACCCTTTGCACTCGGTGATTATTTTCGTGACAGAGATATAGCAATTCAAAGACTTTCCACTGTAACGTCGAGGATATTTTTGAAACAGTAAATAAGGAATCGGGTATAAATTAAGACTTAAAATTATTTTATTTCGACGTTCCATGCAATCTTGGGTTATTTTAAATTTGATATGTTAATTAACATGGATCTTCGGAATTTGATTAAACGGTGAATTTGGCTCACCTCTCGAGTGCAAAGGGTTGACATAGAATTATTTTTCTTCGATATTCCACACATCGTTAGGTAATTTTAAATTTGATATATTAATTAACGTCGATCTTTAGAATCTGATTAAATGGTGACTGAGAGTCACCTCTTGAGTGCAAAGGGTTAATACCTGAATGGTATGCCAAATCAGTTTTATGTTGTTGTATACGAAGAAAGTTGTATCGTCTTAAAATATAAAATATAATATATTTATAATAATTATAGAAGGAAAAAGAATTAGACTTTACTTCCTATAGTATTCCTGACTACATCACACGTCTTTACATTTCGACACGTATTGCGATTTGCGTTTTCGAGCTTGACACCGAATGTTTGGGCTCATTGACAGATTTCGTCGAGGTAAATGGTATGGGAAGGGGTTAAACTTAAACGATCTGATCACAGGTGACGGGTCGAAATTGTTAGTGGCAAAGATCGCCAATATCTATCCAGAAGTCGTCGTCTCGTGAACCGATACTCATATGGATGGATATTCAACATTTCGTCGAACGGCACTGTGCTTGTGACGTTACGATTATTTTTTCCCCTTTTTTCTTGTTTTCTTGTTTTCTCTTTTATCTTTCTTTCTTTTTCGTCGACAGGTCTTGTCGGAAATGTTTCGAATAGCTTCTTTTTCTTCACCTCTCGTGCGATAAATTTCGTAGAGGAGTGTTAAAACGTTCTCGGCGACGAGCGATAATTGGTCGAAAAACGCGAGATAATTCGGAATTCCGGAGTAACAGCGGCGCGATGACGATACCAGACACGTGCACCCTCGTTAAAAATTGATACTACGTCGGATGGGCGCGACTTCCGTCTGTTTTTCTCGATATTAACGTTACGCAGTCCTGTTTACTGTCAATGCTATAAATTTCTGTTTATTCCAATTCCTTTTCAATCTTTTCTTAATTTATCATCAATTTGCTCGATTAATTAGTTTTCATATTTAAAATGAACATCTGTAATACTGATCGAGCAAACGAGCAGCCTAAATTCTATACGAATATTAACGTTACATAGGCCTGTTTACTGTCAATGCTACAAATTTCTATTTATTCCAATTTCTTTCCAATTTTTTTGAATTCTGGCATGAAGTTGTTCCATTAATAAGCTTCCATATTTAAATAAACATCTGCAACACTGATCGAACAAACGAGCAGCCCAAAGCCTATACAAATATTAACGTTATGTAGACCTGTTTCCTGTCAATGTTATAAATTTCTATTTATTCCAATTTCTTTCCAATTTTTTTGAATTGTGGCTTGAAGTTGTTCGATTAATAAGCTTCCAATTTAAAATAAACATCTGCAACACTGATCGAACAAACGAGCAGCCCAAAACCTATACAAATATTAACGTTATATAGACCTATTTCCTGTCAATGCTATAAATTTCTATTTATTCCAATTTCTTTCCAATTTTTTTGAATTTTGGCATCAACATGCTCGATTAATTGGCTTCCATATCTAAAATAAAGATTTGCAACACTGATCGGGCACGCGAGCAGCCCAAATTCTGTACGAATATTAGCGTTATATAGACCTGTTTCCTGTCAATGCTATAAATTTCTATTTATTCCAATTCTTTTCGAATTTTCTTCAATTTTGACATCAACATGCTCGATTAATTGGCTTCCATATCTAAAATAAAGATTTGCAACACTGATCGGGCACGCGAGCAGCCCAAATTCTGTACGAATATTAGCGTTATATAGACCTGTTTCCTGTCAATGCTATAAATTTCTATTTATTCCAATTCTTTTCGAATCTTCTTCAATTTTGACATCAACATGCCCAATTAATTATCTCCCATTTTTAAAATAAAAATTTGCAAATCTAATCTGACACACGAGCAACCCAAATCCTATATCTTATTACTTCGATATAAAAATTTGGAACGTCTACCCACCAATGATTTTCCAAAGGCAAGTATCTCTCTCGCTTTTCATACTTGTCTATGAACCTCAGGACGACCTTGGCACTATCTCCGCGTGCGAATCGCGCGAAATTCGCGAATCTCGGCGAGACTCGCGACAGGTAGAATGTTTACCGGTAGAAAAGCAGTTTTTCAGATATCTTATCGCTTTATCGCCTTCTCCACCGTGTACTGCAATCGCTCTTCCCCTCTTTCACCGCTACTTTCAACGATCCCGCTCTCGCCCCCCTCGACGGACTTTTATCGCTACCGATAAAGCCTTTTCGGTCGATCGTTTAGCGTAACGATATTTCATCTACATCCATGTCGCGAGCCGGTGGTTATCGCGTTATCGCGTATGCCGCGACATCTAACCGCTCGGACAGATTGGATCGCGTGTCGCTATTAAGCGAACGACCGCGAGAGTCTTCACCGTTTCGAATTCCACCATCGCGATTGCAGAGAAGCAGAGTGCAGTAGCAGACATCTCGATCGAGATGATTGCGAGCTAGAGGAAGGACAGATGGGATGATCCACGTTGACAACCTGCCACGATCGAATGATCGATAAACGAAGGGACAGAAGATTCTGAATATAAAAATACGTGAAAATGTTGAAAAATTATTCAATTAACAAGAAATTTTAATTAGAGAAGAAATACGAAATATGGAATTTTTAATCGAAATTTTGAAAATTCTCGTTTAGGATGATGATGAGTAAGATCGTCTTTGTCCTAGAACGAATTTGACGACTCGTCGACGAATCGTGGTACCTTGACGAGGAACATAATCGGCAAATTCGTTATTGGACGAAGACGATCATCTTACCAACGCCAGCCTAAACGAGAATTTTCAAAATTTCGATTAAAAATTCCACATTTCGCATTTTCTCTCTGTTAAATAAAATTTCTTGTTAATTGACTAATTTTCCAACGTTTTCATGTATTTTTACATTCAGAATCTTCTGTCCCTTCGTTTATCGATCATTCGAATTTGGCGATTCGTCGACGAATCGTGGTACCTTGACGAGGAACATAATCGGCAAATTCGTTATTGGACGAAGACGATCATCTTATCATCGTCAGCCTAAACGAGAATTTCTAATATTCCGATTTTCGTGCGCGTAGACGTAGTCAAAGATTGGGAAGCTTTCTAAAGATTTAGATCGGGAACCTAAAGATTTCTCGTGACCCAAGATGAACGTCAAAGCCTCTTTTGAAATAGGACGATGTATGACAGTGCTGGCTTCAGCGTTCAAGGCCGCGTTCGGGTGGTTATCTGGGCGACTGACTTTTGGGAATTTGACTGATGGTGGGAGAAAGCATGGCCGTGAGATATCGGTAGCTGATACGGGAATGACGCGAGTATTCTTGTTTTTCACTCTTTTTTTATCTCTTAATGTCTTGGACTAATGGGTTAGCCCGTTGTAGATAAATAAATAAATAAATATCCGTATCTTCGTTGACTGGGCAAATTTGTGTTCCTCGACGTGGGACTTGGGGAATCGATAGAAAGAACAGAATTTGAAGGCGAAAATTTGGAGTCCTATGTACTTATATTCTCCCGTGTACAATTAAATTAATTAAATTCAAATGCAAGGGAGTGGAGCTGGGAGTGCGAGCTTTTGGTACGTGAAAGCTTACAGTGTGGGCTAAATGTACGTGTGGTTATTGCGAGCTTTTGAGCTTTCGATTTTTTTTTACTGATTTTTGGTCTGAAGATTTCAGTCTGAGAATGAGACATTTTTCGATGGTGGCCGAATCAAGTGCAGGGTGCATCAATCTGATTTGCATATGCAGTGGTATCACGTGTGTGAATTGCGTGGGCGTAGGTCACGTGGTTCGATTTTTACAGCGGTTCAAAGACTGAATCTGCACAGACTTGGTACGAAGGACAAGCAAGTTACATTTTATGCTACTGTGAGCTTTCTAGGAGATATAGGAGTGCGAGCTTTTGGTACGTGGAAGCTTTCAGTGTGGACTAAATGTTCGTATGATTGTTGCGAGCTTTCGAGCTTGAGAGATTTTTTGCTGATTTTTGTTCTGAAGATTTTGGTGTAAGAATGAGTGTCAAATGTGGACATTTTTCGATGGTGGCCGAATCGAGTGCAGGGTGCACCAATCTGATCTGTATATGCAGTGATATCATGTGTGTGAATTGCGTGGGCGTAGGTCACGTGGTTCGATTTTTACAGCGGTTCAAAGACTGAATCTACACGGACTTGGTACGAGGTTAATGAAAGTTACATTTTATGCTACTGTGAGCTTTCTAGGAGATATAGGAGTACGAGCTTTTGGTATATGGGAGCTTTCAGTATGGACTAAATGTTCGTATGATTGTCGCGAGCTTTCGAGCATGCGAGATTTTCGGATGATTTTTGTTCTGAAGATTTCGGTATGACAGTAAATGGCAAATGTGGACATTTTTCGATGGTGCCGAATCGATGACAGGGATGATCTTACGCAGCAAATACAAAGAACGAAAAGCAGAGTATGCAACTCGGTCCGAGATTGCAAACTTTCGAGTAGGTTTCGTTTAATTAACAGATTAGGCCTTGACCGGGGTGGAATTAAGGGACAGATTTTATTTGACGCCGATTATTCTTGTCTGAATGACCAGCTGAACCACTATCGAGCAGATGCGAACGGTAACGTTACGAAACCTGCTGCACTTGCTCGGTTTCTCGATAATCTTTGGCCCAACGACCCAATGCAGCCGAGGGACGACCCAGTAGAGCGTCGCGGTGCTCGTCGCGAAAATTCCGTCGAAAATTCGAATTTTTCGCGCGGGTATCCTAATCGATAACAACCAAACGAAAGAATATTCCGCGAATTTATTTAACGCGCCAGCTGAGCGATTTCGTCGCGATTTTCTCACGATTTTGCAACGTCTCCGAAGCGGGATTTCATAACGCGGAGGCTCTTATGTCACGCGTCTCTGATTAGAATTCATCATTGGAAACCGATCTTGCCAACGTTGATCCCATTAGTATTACCGCGCATCCGAGATAATAGTTTACGTAATAACGGCGAGTTTTTCCTCGCCTGTGCCGCGTAATCCCGCTTCGGCAGTCGCGCCGCGTGTAAAGCATTTCTCCTGCGCGTGTAATTGCACCGTTAATGCCACCCCCGACGCTTGTAAATTAATAAGCATCGTCTCCGACTGGGTCGGGGGCCATGGTTCGCGGGGTGCAAGGCGAAATAAAAATCCCGTTCGTGAGAGGAATTTTTCCCGTCTTCCACCGCGTCAGCCGGCCGGCGTTATCGCCGCGCCCGGGAAAAAGTTGCCGCCATTACGGCGAATTAGATAAAGAGAAAAAGCAGCCGTGCACTCACCATAATGGCGATGAGATGCCTGTAGTCGTAAGGAAGCGGTCCGTCACCTCGCAGGATGAAATGTTGGGTACGGAGGAAGTGCTCCAAGTACGTGGGATGCGAGGCCATCACCCTGGAGACATGATCCAGCCTGTTGTTCTGGAGGAACGCATCCATCAACAGAATATGAGTCTGTAACCAAAGTGATCTTCGATTAGTCGGCGAATTTCCCCGGGTACAGTTACCGAACAGTTCAGAGACACGTTTCGTGTACATGGGAAAGACTGTCCCACGCCAGGACTCGCGCTGTCCTCGAAGACGCAGCGTGGCTGTCAAGACTTGACAGCGGCTAGCTCGATTCGTGCATGTACTCGCGACTTATCGACGGGCCACGACGCGCGAATCGACGCAAAGGGCGTCGAGACAATCGCATTAATGACGCAACAGCGTTTGATACGTGGGCCGAAGCAGGAAAACCGAGTTACTACGAAGCACAGCTCGAAACCGGCAGTTCGGTTTGCATCATCCAGCCGTGGCTCGTTCGTGTTCGTGCCTGATATCACCTGTGCAACCATAACCAGTACAACCATTCGCGCAAGTGTGCATCTGCATGGTACACTCGCGATATCGCGCGGTGCAGAGCTGCGACACTGATAGACGCGACAGCGTCGGGGAGCAGTCAAAGGAACACAGCTCCTCGAAATGCAGATGCAGCCTCTAAAATTAGAGACGCATCGAGTCGCTGGAACACCCTTTCTGCTCCCACGGGGACTCTTAATTTTCCTACAGCTGTCCGCGAGTACGCTTTTCCTTTTTCTCTTTCCCCGCTTCCACGTTACACCCTAACTGCTGTCATACGGGGAAGTGCGAGAAATTCACGCGAGAGGGACGAACTTAAACGATGACGAATTTCTTCTTTCTCGTCCTAGTGGTCCAAGAAAGAGGCTACGCGGATGAAACCGGTTGTCAACGACTTCTGACTTCCTGTCAAGACACGAATATGCCAAAGCTGCGTATGTAATCAGGAAACGACATCGGTAATAGTTCTAATTCGAATATCGTTCGAATACTATTCGACACACCGATAGTCAGGTGCCATATCGACCACTTTTCACCACGGTGATGACCAAAGGGACGAAAACAACATTCAGACACGATCGGCGATCGTACGAGCGCGATATATTAATGCGAACAGTTACCGACCTTGTGGAGGGTCGACGACCCGGTCGGACAAATTAAACGGGAAAGGCATTTCACCGAGAATACGAGGGCTTTCGCCACGCGAGGAATATCAATTTCGACCGGCGTCGATCGGTCACGGCGTGGGCGTCGTCGCTGTCAACTGTTAAGCTACCTGCGAGCTTCTCTGCGAGTATCTTCGCGATCAAAGATACGAAGGAAACGAGTCCCTGTAAAGGACCGCGTGTGTTAATCTCGTCGATGAAAAAGCAAATCACTGTCAATCCGCGAGAACCTCGATTTTTCCCCCGATCATGGAGCTTCGATTAGACGTCGCTGATAACCGATCTCTAGCCTCTTCGCGTTTATCTCTACGAGTAGCACGAGAACGAGAAAAATTCCTGGTCTACTGATCCGTCACGATACAACGGTGAGATGCTCGGCTTCAAGCACGCAATCGATAACGATCTCGGGGGAGCTCGAGGAGTCGCGTTGCGAAACGCGAATAAAATGGCGCTACCGGTCGAATGGCGAACGGTGGCGCGATTCGCGCGAACGTCCAAACATGGACACCTACGAGTGTTTGCCTGAGTGGTCGTTACACTCTGCTGGGAATAATAGACCGGCATTGGCAGCCTCCTCGAGGCAAGATCCTGTCAAGTTTATGCAAATGAAAGAAGCGAGTCTCGCGGATGGTCGAGGTCGACGAGTGCTCGCGAAGGAAATAATGGGAAAAAGAGCGATAAGAGGAAAGCGCGTGTACCTGACAAGCTTAGTCATCGACTGGCTTTTAAACTTTGTAACGACACGAGGCGCGTATCGCTGTTTATTTCCGCGATTTCATGGCAAACTGCGAATCGTGCGGGCAGTCGACGAGGTCACGGATAATTCTGACAGACGTGGAAAACGCGATGACACATTCGCGATGTTCCTCGACGACTCGATCGCAACTTGCTGTCAATCGTGCTCTCGTGACGGAGAAACGAGCAATTCTGCTTGGTAAAAGTATCGAGTGAAAATGGACGATATATCGGCTCTCTATGGGGGACTGATACATGCCTATCTCCCACATAAATTTCCGCGAGATTACCTCGCGATTCGCCGAAGCATACCAAAACGCTGCCAAAGTACCGACAGCAGGTTTCCCTCGCGAAACGTCGGAAACGAGGAAAGCCACCTGACCGAGGCAAAGAGGACTTGGATCACGTCATCGGCGAGCTTAATCGCGAACAGAGTTGGCCGGTGAGAAGGCGAGGAGGAATCGAAGATGACGAGCTGCTCGCGGATCAAGAATAGTCGCGCGCGTCATCAGCGGCAAAACTATTACTCAATTAACCCGTACGCGAGATTTGGCAAGAACCCGCGACGGATTGTCCCAGCGAAGCCCTCGAAAGCTGCGGCCAGAGGGAACGGACCCTGTCGCTCTCTTCCGAGAACTCTTTTTCTTTTGGCAGAAGCCTTTGGCAGCGAGCCCGTGCAGGCTGCCTGAGACTCTCTGGCGAGTCTCTTCTCGCGCCTGTGTCTCCATTTTTCCTATTTCTCCAGCTCTTTTCTCTCTCTCTCTCTCTCTCTCTCTCTATGCTTCCGTCTATTCCTCCACACCTGCTTCTTCTTTCTCAGCTCGGAGTCGCGTGGAATTTTCCTCAGGAAGAATCTGCACAGGGCTCGCTTTGGACTAGAGTATCGTTTCCCTTTCCTCCATATTTTTCCACGGCTCTCTCCATTTTTGCACGCGCACACCTCGCAGTGTCTCATTTCGTTTCGTTTTCCTTTGTTTCGTGGACCTCGTTCAATTCGCTGTCAATCGATCTTCCTACGTTTCCCTTGCGAATTCAACGGGCACCTCCTATTTCGAAGATAAAGAGTACTTTAGTCGAGGCGTGCTTCCGGGTTCGCCTTGATCCAGAGACGAAACGAGCAGTGTTCGAAATGGCAGGTTGGAAGGAAACGAGGAAGTACACGGAGTTCTGGAAAGCTCCGAGGGGCCATTAACTCGCGGCCAAACCGCTATCTCGGGACTTTCTAAAATTCTGATATAACTCGGCCTCTGGCCTGCCTAAACGCTCCTCGGGCTCCAGAGGTTTCCGACCTCTTTCTCGAGATACCATAATTCCGAGGTAACTAATGACGCCGTGGAATCTTATCCGAGACCTAAATGCAACCTGGTCTGGGCAGCTCGGCTTAACGATCGCCGCTGCGCCGACTTTTTCGGCCATTGTTGGAACCCGGATTCAGAACGTTATAGACCATTCGATATGGGCTATGAACGCATATATTGGTTCTCGTAGAACCATTCAACCTGGGCTATAAACGCTGTATAGTTTTATAAAATAAGAAATTTCAGTCAGCGCAGCATGCGCTTCGTTGTTAAAAGTGGACGGTCCTCGGCGCACGCTTAACGTTGCACAACTCAGAGCTCGAAGGCTTGATTAACACTAGAACTACCAACCCAGTGAAAATGACTGGTCCCAGAATTTTCCTTTTTGCAATCACCGAACACATACACCTGCTTTAAGAATAAAATTGGTATCAGCTCATATTAAGAAAGAACTGTAATCAATATTGTGAGAGGAGTCTTTATTTGGATGGCGTCACCCTGCATCAAGATCTATGTTTGCTTCGAGGAACCATCAAGATTATCAATTTTCAAAGCAGGACTGAGTGACGCAATGGGTCGTCATAGGGCCTATAAGAACCTGGCTGAAGGGTTCGAGGTAACACACCCTCTTTCGACAATCCACCGTCTGCATCACGCATCGTATAAGACTCAAGCCTCCGCGCATTTGTACAGAATAAAATAAAATCAAAGTTTAAAGTTCAATTTCTATAAATCCGATCCTTTACCACAACATATTCACTCGTATTCATCGTACCGCTGAATATTACTATAACCTGTGCACATTATACATTATAGTTAGGTACCCATTAACACGTTGGCTGCCGCGCGAATTTTACGTGACTGCCCAAGGTGCCAACATGAATTTTTCATTATGCGATGCATATTATGCTGAAATATTATTTACAGCGGATAAGTTTAGTTGTATAAACTTGTTTTATGCATTTTTCGTGGCATTAATTTCTTCAAAGCATTACAGAAACAATGGTATTATTTAGAAATTTATAAGTATCCATGTTTACCCTAATTATGTATTTTAACTATTGGTCGCGTCGCCGGTCACCGGTGACCCCACGGCAGCCATCGTGTTAAAGATGGGTAAACAATGGTATTATTTAGAAATTTATAAGTATCGATGTTTACCCTAATTATGTATTTTAACTACTGGTCGCGTCGCCGGTCACCGGTGACCCCACGGCAGCCATCGTGTTAAAGATGGTTAGTTCTAGTGTTAAGTAAGGGTGCTTTGAGTAAGGTATTCCCAAACGTTAGGTCCTAAGATGACGAAGAATTTAACACCAAAGTTAGCACCTTTTGGTACTAGTCTGGGCCCGAATGGAAACTCTAGCAGCGATCCCTGGGGACCGGCGTGGCACTTAACTCTCTGAGAAGAAACTGCGTAAGAATCCGTGCAAGAACCTGCGTAAGAGCCTGTGTAAGCACCTACGTAAGAAATCGTGTAAGAAATTGCGCGTTCGCGTGGAATCCTCGCGGTTGGAATGGTTGTCAGACGAAGATCGTTTGTTCGATCGCGTTGACAATCGGAACGAAAGCTCATTAGACGCGCGGCACGCAAATAGGCAGGGTCAAACGCGCGGCATAAATAGCGATGCGGCGATCGGCGATATGCAGCAAGCCTCTAATTATAATCGCGAGATCGTCTCCGTGTTCAAGGGAAACGCGAATGGAAAATCAGTCTCGATGGAGGATTAATAGCGACGAAGAGGGGATTAACGTGCTGAGTGCTACGTCGGTCCCTGAGGACTGAAGTTTAGCGAAGGTAGAAATGAGTCAATTGTTTTTCGACTCTGAAATTGGTCTGCGTTTATCAGCCAGGCCCTTCTAGTGACTAAGGACCAACGAATCGTTAGTCATCCAACAATCTAGCGTTCACTCG